ATAGTAGTACTAACGTGATTATTGGTAAACAATCAAATCTTATGAGAACGAACAAATAGATAATTAGAATGAAAGGAAGTCGATGAATAAATTTGAAGAGTGAGCGGAATAGTTAGACAAAAAATAAGCTGAAAACCTATTGATAGTGTGATGCGTGAAGATCTATGTAATTGAACTCACATTCACTGCAAGGTATTTTGTATATTATATTATTTTGTCTAATTGGGTGCACCGGCTCCTTCAGCCTACAGAGCTTTTCTGTGAGTGAGTTTATAGGTTTGAAAGCCACTCTAATTGCTGCTTTATTATCCTATGTAGGGTCTCAGATGTCCCCTCATTATATGGTAAAACAGTAGATGCCTTATATTCTCTCTTATTTATGTCATCATTATTAGTTTCACCATTATTTTTATTTTGCTTTTGACCTTTTTTGATCTTCCTAATGAATTTTATAGGATAGTTATTTAGCACCAACGCTTCTTCTGTCTGTTTCATTTCATCATTTTAGTTTTTTTTATGTACTATTTAGTATTATTGATCTGCATGTTAGACACTTAACCAGACCTGCCTTCAAAGATAATGGATGCGATGAATTGAAGTCTACGTACAAATTAGAATACGTTGGCTTTTTATAAACGCCAGTTTACCTTCTTTTATCGTTTTATTTTACAGTCTGATATAGCTAATTTTCATTTTCTGACTCAGACTGCTGTCGTAAGTATGTTTTATGCATTCTTAGAAAAAGCTCAGGAGTGACCACCTCCAACTTCGTACGCATGGATCGTATAACCACATATGTCACCTGAGTAATTCACAGTTGCATTCAAACTGTCCGTTAGGAAAAGTCGCGCTTTGATGTTACACAGGAAACAACTTACTATCTGCATCGTTGGATTACGTATTTATGCTTTTATTTCTACAGACTGAAAGACATTCTGTTTACCTGTTTCCAGTATTACAGATTTTTCAGGTTTGCTTGCAAGCTGTCTGTTCAAATTTTTTATTGCTCTCCAAACCTTAAATCACCAAGGAAGAGAAGAGCTAAGCAGTTCAGAAGACATAGTAGGTCAATGATAAAAATTAACAACATCAGTTGATCTTGAACAGAACCTTGAGAGTCTCACAAGGCCGAGCTTTACTAAGATTGTGGGATACAACTGAGTTTGGTACAGAATTCGCTTACGTCTAGATGGTCCTTTAACCTGAGGGAAGCTGGCCACCAATACCTGCCGGCCTATTCAGTGAAGAAGAAAATTATGTTAAACAGTATCAAATGCCTTTGCAGAATCAGGGAAGACCACATAGACTGGGATGTTCGTATTCCAGCATGATGTCTAGTCATTCCTAGTGTATTTGTTCCAAAGAACCTATATCTTCTGAGGTCGTACTGTACTTCATGGAGTGCTTTTTCTCTCATCAAGGTGCTTCCCGATATGTTCACCAACCAGCCTTTCTATAGGCTTTATTACAAGTGGAATTAGTGCTACCAGTTTCCTAGTTCATTGCATTTTGTCAGTCACAGCGATTGAATATAGGAGAAAGGATAGATCTCTTCCATCCCCTTGGAAGCTTCTCTGAGTTGATGGTACATTAGAACAGTTAACATAAGGGTCCACACAGAGCTTAGAAGGTTCTGGTTGTGCTACTGATTAGCTACACAATACCAGCCTTACTAAAGCCAATGTGCCTAGTTACCCAGACAATGAGCATACTACCTGACTTTTAAGAACTAATGACAAAACACAAATCAAAAGCACTCCGTTATTTAGGGATTTAAGTAGGATAAAAAGTTAGGGTTATTTAGGAAAAAGATTTTAGAGCTCATCTGGCTAAAATGGTTAGACTATGGTCTCAGGGTCTATGTGTGTTAATAGTACAAGGAAGGATAAAAAAAATAGTGTCCGAGCCTATCTGGAAGCGTGTCCGTTAAAACAAAACTTATAACGCTTAAAGCATACGCAGGCAGACTAGACGTTTCTTTGGTTAATATTAAGTTGATTCCAAGCGATCTAATAATTTTTAATTAATGTCAGTAAATTATTATTATTTTATTATTTCCTTTAGTTCCTAGAGGAATATAGGGCTTCAGCCATGCGTCTCCATTGCGTTCGGTTCTCTGCTAGAGTTTTCACCTGGCTCCAGGTCTGCCCACATGCTTTCATCTCCTCTTCACATGATCTCCTCCAGGTCACCCTTGGACGACCAACTCTTCGCTTCCCTTTCGGGTTCCACTCGAGGGCTTGTCTAGTGGATCAAATTAAGTATACTTATATTTCAGTAGTTTACATACAATGATAAGTTTTTTGTTTTGGTAATATTTGGAGCAAAATGACTGCCCGTGATCACATCAATTGTTGGAGCTGTGCTTTTTTTCCCACTTTTGTGATTTCTAATCATATATGTGTAATTCATTTTTTGTTCATTCATTTTTTTGTATCCAGAATTATAGTCCAGGATTTCGACAGTTGTGCTGAGTCATATGCACATGCACGGGATAGAAACCACAACATTAATTAGGACAATATCTGTATTCTGAAATCTAATATGAACAAATGAAAAGAAAGACTAATTGCAGAAACTATGTTCATTAAGGTCACACCGGACACAAATAACAAGGGTGACTGTCAACAACCTGGAATATAATTCTGGATACACAAAAATGAATGAACAAAAATGAATTACACATATATGATTAGAAATCACAAAAGTGGGAAAAAAAGCACAGCTCCAACAATTGATGTGATCACGGGCAGTCATTTTGCTCCAAATATTACCAAAACAAAAAACTTATCATTGTATGTAAACTACTGAAATATAAGTATACTTAATTTTATCTATTTCACAATGCACAAACTTTTTACTTACATTAAGCGGTGGTCCTTGTCAAATGATCTTAAGCTAAATACCTCCGAATATCACATTATTAATTTCCCTTTCAAATACAAACGCGACTTACATGAACTGGTTTGTTCTCATGATTCTGGTGTAACACAATGCACTGAATTTGAAACTAAGTTAAATATTAAAAACCGTGGGCTACTTCTTCCTCTGGTCTCTCCGTTTCTTTCCACATAATAATAATATGTATGTTCATGAAAATAATGAATTAAAAATATGAGACTGTTGCACAGAATACCTTTCTATGATGTGTGACAAAGTGCCTGTAAGTTTTGGACTAGAGTATCAACAGAGTAATCTAACTAAACTCGAAGACTTGCAGGCAGGCATAAACCAACAAACTGGCTGAAGAGGCAGGCAGCGAAGACAGGACTTCAGGTGAACACAGAGAAGGCGGAGTTGATGAAGATAACCAACCAACAGCAACAGCAACAACCAGCACCAATCACCATCAACGGGAGAAATGTGATAGAGGTTACCTCCTTCACTTATCTAGGAAGCGTGGTTTCAACCACAGGTGGAACGGATGAAGATGTCAAAGCAGACCAGAATCGGAAAAGTACGATACGCCTCACCAACCTGAAATCAGTTTGGAAATCTCCTGCACTCAGCCAGCATAAAGAAGAAGATTCGGATTTCCAACACAAATGTGAAGTCAGTCAGTTCGTCTGTACGCGTCAGAAACATGCACTATCTGTAACGGAAAGGATTTCCAACAAGTAAGAGACTTTTATCAACAGCTGCCTTCGTTGGCTTCATATTGAAGATCAAATGGCAGGTCGGCCAGGAAGAATTAGTAACAAGAAAATCTGGCAACACACTAACCAAAAGCTGATTGCTCAACAAATACGCAGAAGAATATGGAGATAGACTGGGCATACATTGGGGAGACCGTCGAAGGACATCGCGCACCAGGCCCTCGAGTGGCATCCCTATGGGAAGCAACTAGTAGGTCGTCTTCAGGTGACATGGACGAGATCGTGCGAGGAGGAAATAGGAGATTATGGGCAATTGAGGACCCAGCTGAAGAGGACGGCGGGTGTGTTGTTGAAGCCCTTTGTACCACTCGGAACGCAAGGGAATAGTAATATTATAATAAAAAATGGGTGTGATCACTAAAGAAATAAGGGTATATGTAAATGAAGTAGATGGAGCAGACTAGAACCCAGGACCCATTAGTTTAATGTCTAGTCAAGGAATCACATCTATAAGTATACATCAGTGAACAGATATGTTGTCTTAGTTTGAATCTCGGTAGCTTAAACCCGATGAGGCATCAAACCCATAGGTACCTGTTCTCGTGAACAGCATTAAACTGTACGTTAATGTTTCGAAAACTATTCAAGGAAAGTTCTTATTTAGTTAGGAAGAAGAGTGATGAATTAAATTACTTGATTTCCAAGTAGTGCTAAATTATTTGCGCGTCATTTTGCAAGCACTTCACAGAGTTTAAAGATATTTAAAAATCAGCTAGAGAATCTGAACGTGACATATCTCTTTAGTAGACTTTGCGCGTTAAGAAGTGTATAAAGCTCCTGATATTTTGGATAAGTTCCACATTTGTGTCGGCAACTGATACTGAAGTGAATATCCAACTCCAATTTGCAGTTGCCTCTCTTAATAGTATTGCATCATATTACTTGAGTCATTTGATGTGATCGCTGATGAAACTGTCGTTTCACTTTGAACTCCAAATGTTTTGCTCAGCTTTCGTATGTATGTATTCATTCATTCGCCTTATTATCTAACTGATTAGTATGAAATCAAAAATGCAAATTACCTAATCATCACTAAAACTCCCGGTTGAACCTAAAATTTATTTCGATTTCAATGCATAATTTTCCTTTCTTTAGAATTAACACTAAATCAAGGAATTAGAAAATTCAGTATCTATATAAAATTTCCAAAAATGTTTTTTAGAAGTAAGTAAAAGCAGTAAAAAGATGGTTGATAAAGAGCGAAAGGCTTAATTAACTGGAGGCTAGCAATTTGTCAAACAATTAGGCACAAGATATCGATTATTTTGTCTATCTGAATTAATCAATGCATGTAATAGCATTGAAAAATTATTTAGAATTCGCACCATCCTGAATCCTCTGAATTTATTTATACGCTGATATAGTGAATAACTCCAGAGAGCCAGGGCCAGATTGACTTTTAGCCTCGTAAACCCCACCATATACCTGTATTCCAACACGTCTCAAATCACTTGCGTTTAATGGTGGCACATTTGGTTGGTATTTTCCACGGAAATATGGTTGAAATGTACTGAATGGTAGGTAGACTTGTTCTCGAGCACCTGATGTCTGTATTTATTGCATAATGAAAATCAGTTATATATATATATATAAATTACCTCGAAAAAGGACTCGTATGAGTAACAGTTAGTATACTGAGGACAGTCATTGTAAAACAACAATTTGAAAGCAGAATTGTTTCCTTGTCTGTGTAAATCAATTGAAATGCCTTGATATTCTGATAAATCCCAGGAGTTTAAATAGGCATCTATGCCAGCAAAACATGCCCCGTTTGGAAGTGGATTGAGTAAGTAGAAAAATATAGCAGACTGGTAGTTCTATTTATAAAAAGAAGTATTTAGTATTTCTGACAAATAAATGGCCTACTGATGCAATATGTGGTACTAGTACAGCTTTAGATCGTCCAACTGTACGAACTGTATCCGACACTTCAATCCATTGATCCAAAAAGGTAGCAGTAGGATCTGTGAAGTTAAATAGTGTCAAATTAACTTCATCATTCGATGACACTGTAGGCAGTGATATTCGTTCGTAGGGGTTAATAAATGTCATGACGATTTTCCTAAGTTAAGGTGTTGTAAGAAGTAATTTCAACTCACAAAGCATTTATGGGGCATGTGGATAGTATTACACAGATTAATAAACGGAAGGTGTATAAATTTGACATTCTCTGGTTGATTCCGAACAGGTAATCGCAGCAACTGTTCTCAGCAAAATTCTTCTGAAAGACAAATTGTTGAGGTAACAGTTTATTTCAAGATGAAATATAGCGCAAATACTTCTGCATAGTTTTAGTTCACTCGTAATTTCCCTACTAAAGTCGAATTCTAACACGCATTAAAATTCTGAATTAGAAGAAACTAGTTTCATTTCGAGTTGGATCCTAAAACCTATACTATCGGATAACCAAGGAGCACCAGATTGCTGTTATATTCAAAAGTGTTCATCCACGTCCCTATACAAAATTCACTGATTGCACAGTAACTCCCGCAAAATATGTAAATCAATAGCCCGCTACAATGTGCGCCTTGTTTGTCAGACTGTCTACATTGATGTCAGTTTGGAGAACGAATCTTAATGTATTAGGGATAGCGCCTGGAGTTATAGTAGGAACTAGAATTCCTACCTCTAGGTTACTGGTCCTCTGCTCTGCTGAAACAGCTGCTACATGTAATTTAAGATCATTATCACTGCATAGCTTTCAGTCATCTGTTACATTTTTTCATTTAATGAATCTATTAAACAGATATTATGTGAGATGGTATACTCAATCATCAGTCAGTCGTTATCTACTTAACAGAATTTGATGTACATCTACATAAAGAGAATGACCTAAATGGCTAGTATGATGACTGACAGATGCTTACGTAGATGTTGTTCACATGACTGCCTGGGTAAGCCACAAGCTCTAAAAAAAAACTATGTCATGGTTTATACCGCAATTGCTGATCTTAGTCAGTAATCCGAAGGTGGTTGGTTCTAATTCCCCTATAATCCTTATACCCCTTTCCACTTTCAGCATGTCATTATTAAGCATACACTACTAAAGACCCACCATAAAGTCAGCTAACATAGAATGCAGTTTGAAATCATTATGATTATTATTTTCAACTTTTTAGTATCTAGATAGAAATTTTCATTTTTTATCTCGAAAATTCGAAATTTTAACTTTAAACGGTAAAAGTCTATTAATGAGTACTAAATTGTTCACAGTACAGCTTTTTGAGTAAGTTGTTTATTTGTACTAAAGGCGAATTTTCATAAATTGGTAAGTTATATCTGAAAGCTGAGATTTTAATAGTGGTATTCTTCACTAATGGCTAATATTTAGTAACCGTCTAAGCCATCTTAACATTAATCAAGTGTATAAATTGATCTTTATGAATACTGTAAGTTGATCAAATGACCTGATTCCATCAGTCAAACTGCAATAATAATAATAATTTATAAACGTACAATAACTACGAAATGATATCATCTCGCGAAATTTGTCTTCTAAATGCTTCATTCAGATTTATCAAAAGGACTAACTGTTTTAATTTTCTCAAACGAAGGTTCTTTAAAGATACTATAAGACTTCTGAATGGTCTTCTGAATATGAGATGCAAAACTGTCATTCACCCTGAACAATTAAGGTTTTATCACAACCGCATAGAAAATAAACATTATCTTATACCGTTTTACAAATCACTACGTCAGAATAAGTCAAAATACTCACTCTTCAACCTTTGGCATCTTGCTGAATTAGAAACTGATGAAATTAATGACAAACTTTCAAAATTAATCGAAACACATCAACGACTAATCCCCATCATGGATAATTTATCTGTAGTATGTCAAATTAAATTCACTATATTTTGCAACGATATGGTAATAAAGACCATAAGTTCCACGGAACAAAAGTTAACAAAATCTTTGAAAGACACGAATCACATTTTGGAATTTCCTGAGGATGTGCACAAGCATATAATTGATTTATCTTCCTGCACTGTATGCCAACAACAGTTGGAGGCATTATCGTACAGATTGAAATACAAAACTATCCCTCCGAAAATGAACAAAATGGAAGTCCAATCACAGTATGAAAACCTGAACAAATCTCTAATTTAATCCCATCTAGTAAAGATAACCTAGACTGGTTTAGAGTTAAACTGGTGGGCATTTATCACCGATTTCTAAATGCCGGAATACATCAGAAAAATGGTTTATCAAAAGAACACCACGCCATACTTAAGTAATTAATCAAAATAGATAATCTTATTATCTTTAAACCTGACTAAGGAGAAGGCGTTGTCATCATGATTAAATCAGATTATCAAAAATGAAATCAATGAAATCCTTAAAGATCAGTCCAGATTTCTGGTGGATAATACTGCTGATAATGTGCTCCTTGTGGAAATGCAGATTAACTGTCAGCTTGAAATCTTACTGAAGCATGATTTTATAAATGAAAAACTTTATCAGCAACTTAAAGTTATTGGATCACATGCTCCTCGAACGTATGGCCTACCAAAGATTCACATACTTGGGAACCCACTGAGACCCATCTTAGATATGTCAAATTCTCCATATCATAAAGCCGCGGAATGGATTACAGAGGTCCTTACGCCAGTAGGAGACTCCTTATGAAATCATTCCATAAAAATTTCATTCGATCTGACCAATATGCTAGACACTTTGAACGTTATGTGCTCAGGCAACATAGAATCTTTATTCACCAATGTTGCACTTCATGAAACTGTTGATTTCATTTGCGACCAAATAACATGCAATGGGGTACAATTACCTATTCTTGTCACACTGGAGACATTATCTTAACATGTACGGGAAATATCAGATTCACTTTACAAGAAAAGGCATGCAAATAAGTCGGTGGTGTTGCGATGGCGAGCCCTCTTGGACCCCTGTTAGCAGATATATTCATGTCTAAATTGGAAAAACAAATGTAAGGTATGCTAGGGAATTTTATGTTATATAAACGTCATGTGGATGATACTCTCATTATTGGTAATAATAGTAAGTTTATTGAGAACTTTATTACTCTATTTAACCATATTCATCTAAATATCCTAGTGACTTAGGGATTCGAATCGAATAACAAACTCGGTCTCTTGGATATTTTGTTGACTAGGAGAGACGATGGGACGACTAGGCGATGGATTTTACGTTGGTAGACATGGAGTGGACAATATCTTCATATCACCAGTTTTGTTCCAATCCTGTATAAACTTTCTCTAGTGAAATGTTTGTTTTCAAGGGCCCTCAAAATATGCACAAGCTACACACTGATGGATGAGCTTCGACACATACATTCAGTTTTATTAGTTAATGGTTATCCAGAAAATTTTATCATTTGTCACAGTAAGGATAGACCACATCTTGAAAACACAGCTTCTGTACCAAAATAGCTATCTTTATTAGCCTACCATTCAGTGGTACGCAATTGACATTCAGTACGCAATTGACAGCTCAGAGATTTCGGTCAGCCATCAAGCGCACACTCTACGCCCCATCTGTTTCCCTCACATCTCGAAAATTTTCGATACCTGAACCTAAGATTAAAAGATTAAATTCTGTAGACTCTATAGGTAGGACCAATAGAATGTTACAATGTTGTCGAAAAGAACATGTTCCAAAATGGTTATTAAGACATATGGAAAATCCCAATGCAATTAATTTGAATAGAAATCCATCATTATCCATTTCAAAGCACTTATTAATGTCAGGTCACAAAATCAATATTAATGACAGCTTCACAATTATTTCACATAAATCTAATTTAAGGTTATTAAAGTTGATGGGAGCATTTTGGGTTAATCACATACATCCTAAACTATGTGTGCAAAAAACAATAGGCTTCAACCTTCGCCTACCATAGGCTGACTACTTGACCTATTTTAATATGATTGGTCATTAGTATGTACTTTTGTTTTATATAACAGTAGCTGTCAGGCATTTTATTTTATTTTTGTGAACCATGTTAGTTGTAGAGGGGTTGTAAAGAAACCACGAAATGACATCATCTCACGACATTTGTCTTCTAAATGCCTTATTTAAATAGGTAATCGGTAAAAATGTCAGTGTACATTGATTTTACTCGTAGAATGTTATTTTCGGATCAATGATTTCTTAATTGTTGGACACAGAAAAGGTACTTGGATGTGGATACTTTTTATGATTGGTATTTAATATTAAGATTTTGTATGAAGGCGCAAAAGATGGTTAACTTCTTAATATCAGAACCCTACAAGCATCTAAAGTTAACAGTCGGCTTTTCGTTTCAGTTTTAAAGATTGTCATATAGCATTAGCATATGATTAAGACATTTATTATCTTGATAGCGTTATTAGAAGACGGAGATTATCTGAAAAATGTGATGTATTTGCGCTATACATTTCGAACGATCTGATCATATCTAATCGAGATGAACCATAAGGTTTTTGTTAACTCAGCCTTTAAGGTCATCTATAAAAACGGTCAAGGGCGTTTACTGAAATACGCTGAGGTTATAGCTATTCACAAACTTAAGCCCCCCTAGTTATCACTCTTAACCTACCTTGGTAATCCTTATTTGATTGGATTACCAAACGTTTGTGTTAATTATTCTTAATTCTTTTTTTGTCACTTTGTTTAATTTAACTTTTCCATATATATTGACTTGACAAGTAAATGTGTGATCAGATTGTTCGAAATGTATAGCGCAAATACATCACATTTTTCAGATAATCTCCGTCTTCTAATAACGCTATCAAAATTTATAACAGGGACTAATTGTTTTAATCATTAATTATCATTGTTCTGTTTTTTTTCCAGAGATTAAGTGGCACAGTATTTGACTGCCTGGTCCGCAGAAAATTAGCCAGCAGAAGTCAAGGTCAAATGAATGTGATTTATGAAGCTGACGGTATAAGACGTATTGCTGTATCTCTTAAAAGATATGGAATTATAAGTGAGCTAGTAATTGAACATATTTACTTTAATACATTTGAACAGCCTAGTTACTTGTTATGTACTGTCAGCCATCTACATTAGTGAACAGATTTATCTACAGG